CTTTGGAGACGACCGTTCACCTTTCCGTCGATGTAGAAACTGCTTGACTGACTTCCCAGTGAAGCAACTTTTACACTATTCCTCGGGGCTGTCAAATTGCGGGCTGACGGTTGCCCCTTTCCATCAACCCTCCTTAGTTTTCCTGCTTCGGTTCTGATGTAGTCGAAGGACATTTACTCCGGGGATGTCCCATCTGTCCACAGCTCCAACAGCGTATCTGCCGGCGACGTGTTTTTAGCGCCTCCAGAACTCGTTTCACCAGCTCCTCGATGTCGAGTGGAGATGTAGGTTCTGCGTCTGCCACACGGACTCGGGCCTGACCTCTCACCGACTGCCGTACAGCCTCGAACTCCAGTGCCTGTGTCAGTGCGTCACTCAGGGTCTTTGGTCTGGCGAGCTTCACTGCCTGTTGAGTCTCAGGTTCACGTAGACCGTCTAGGAATTTATCCACCGCCAAACTCTCGTAGACATCATCCGTGACCGATGGATAGGCGTTTCTCACCAGGCGAGCAATGTCGGTTTCAAACTCCTGAAGTGACTCGCTGGGTTTCTGGATCCGGTTCCGCAATTGAGATCGGTAAAGCTGGTCCATGTGTCGATGCCCGAAGCGCATGTCCAATCTTCTTACTAGTTCAGCGAAATTCTTCCGCTCCGCCATTGGCATAGCATGCAGAACAGCTAACGCATCGCCCCGTAGTGCAAGACACAGCGTCGAAGCCTTTGTTTCCTCGGTCCACCCATGGACCATAGCCGGTGTATCGAAGAGAAGCATGTAGTCCTCCCAGGGAGTTTTGCCGTCGAAGTGAGGAACGATGTTCTGAGGGGCAACGGCAGCAATGGTGGACGCTGGCTTGGAGATCGTATCTGGGGCGTTATCCTGCCGAAGTTCGTCAGTGCTAGCCAATGACGAAGGTGTGAAGCTCCCCGATGCAGCCATCTCCTGCCTAAGCTTATCAACTAACCTATCTTCTAGACTCTTTTCTATACAGTTAACTTTCTCATCGATTTCATTTATCCTACTTTCTAAACTATCAACTTTGCTAGAATATTCACCTAATTTGTTCAGCATTTTTGATTCTACATTTGACATTTTTGTCTCAATGCTAGTTTCTAAGTTTTTGTTATTTTCTGACATCTTTGACTCAATGCTAGCTTCTAAGTTTTTGTTATTTTCTGACATTTTTGATTCTAATGTTTTGCTATTTTCTGACATTTTTGATTCTAGTGTTTTAGTATTTTCAGACATTTTTGACTCTAAGTTTTTAAGCATTTTATTGAAATCAGATGTTTCAAATAAAATGTTATCTAGGTCTTCACCTGCATCAATTAAAGCTTGTTTAAGGCGTGCCTGAAGGGCTGATTTAGTTCCACTAGTATCTAGATCTCGTTCTTCTAATTCTCTCCTAAGATCAGCTACTTTTAATTCATCAAGTTTTACACCTTTGAAAGCCATTTTTTATGCAAAACAATTACAACAATTTTACAATAAATGATTTTTTCCTTTGTAAACAAATTTACGACACAAATTACTAATATGTAACAAAGACCTTGAATCTTACTAATATCTAACAAAATCCTTAATTCTTTTTTTCAAATAAAATCGCCAAAATAATGCCGCTTTCTGACACCAATTGTTACGGGCTTAGCAGGTTCTTTAAAAATAAAACTTGGCGATTTTATAATAACTATTTATTTACACTAATTATTCTATATTTACAGATATTACAATTTCCTAACACCTAACTAATCCTATCTAAACCTAGCTAAAGCCTACTCTAATTTACAATGATTCTACTTACAGCTAACCTTTACAGGATTTATCACCACTTCTGTTACAGCACTGTCACTACACTGTCACTAGTGTCACTACACTGTCTCTACACCGTCACTACACTGTCACTGCCACTAGCACTAGCACTGGTCACACCGACACGCGCTTGCTGCGACGATTCTCGGAAGGCTCAACACAACTCAACTGCCGTGTGCCGGAAGACGGTCCCTTATATAAGTTTGACGTGGAACATTCTGGAGACCCCTGGTAGCCTAGACAAAGGTGTTTACGCCGTAGAAGTGTAGAAGGTTCTAGGGCCCCATTGAGGTAGTCCGTTGACATGGGCCTATTGTCTATCAGTGGTGCGCTAGGAAAAACCCGTGTAAACAAACAACCCTTTTGAGACGGCGCCTGGCTATTGTTGCGCGGGGCTCCTGACTTGTAACATTATTTTCTTGATTAGGTACTTACTACATTTATTTTTAATAAGCTGTGTACTATGCTATAATTTATGCCATACAAATTTCCATTGTTGCCAATAAACAATTAAAATAATTAAAAATTCCTTTAGCTTGTCTATAAAATATTAATACTATTATACAAATAAGATAAGTTTTAACGAAGCTAATACACTGAAGACTGTGCACGGACCAGAAAGATCACCTTGAGTCAAGCATTGAACATTTGCCATTGAATATCTGATATCCGTACCAAGACCAAATTATTACTCGACTGTAATTCAAAATTTAAACATCCAATAGTCATATTAACCCACGTGATTGTGAAAGTTATCAAACCAAGTATTTTGTAGAACGTTCAATCTACTTACTCTCAATAACAAGTTTAATGAAGGCATCCTGAGGCAGACCTGGAGAAAAAGATTTCTTATCTATAAACTGAGAGGATTTTATAAATATGGCGTTTCTTTATAAATACTCATACACTAAGCTTATACTAAAAAAATTCTATTAAATATCATATATATATACAAAAAATGTTTCAAGCTAATAATAAAAAAAAATATAAATAGAAATTCCAATCTCTGAACCATTAGAACATGGTGTTAACCATATTTTAAAGACTTGGTTTGAATAACAGCATATAACTCAACACTAAATCTAAGTTATTAAAGCCATATTTAACAATAAAAAACACTTTTTGGATTGGAAAAATATGATAATATAATAATACTTTTTAAGTGTCTAAGATAAAGTTAACACATTAACTGTTACCAAACTTATCTGCATATAAAAGGGGTTTCATGACGGAGAGGAACATGAGTATTTATTGTTATTCGACACAACGTGAGTTAACAATGAACTTTTTAGTTTAGTTGTTTGGTCAGCTACTTTGTTATTGTATACTAAAATCCAAGAATCCTACGGTAAGTAAAATATTTTCCAGCATAAACAAAATAGTTAGATGTCAAATTCTCTATTAAGCGAACACAACAACAACTAAAATTTATAAAAAAGTAAAAACCCCTTAAATAACCCAACGTCAATATTATAAAACCTGAATAAACATTTCCAACCGGATTTATTATAATTTATCAAAATCCGGTAATTTTTTCCACAAATATTTTCCAACATATAATAAAACAAAATAGTTAGATGTCAAATTATCTATATTCTTAAACGAATACAGCAACAACTACAACTCAGAAAAAAAGTACAAACCCCCTTAAATAGCCCAACGTTATTATGATAAAACTTGAATAAACATCTTCAACCGGATTTATTATCATTTAGAAAAATCCGGAAATTTCTTAACATGTTGTTAGCTGCCAGGGATCTGATAATAAAAAGAGCTAGCAGTAGTCCTGGACTTAAGTGTTACCAAAGAGACTACAGTAATAGCTACTTTCTTATATTTTAGTTTTATTAGCCTACATTGATTATCTTGCATGTTAACATGTTATCGGGTATAGCTCATATAAACCGTGTTTATAAAACCTATTCTGGTCGTAAAATTGAAAGGTATATCGTATTTTTTATCATTGGTCTAAAATACATTTATTTATCAATCGATGTGTTTGGCCATAGAATCTAACGACTGTTGAATTTAACATATAATATCACATCTAATACTTCAACAAATCAGTTATAGCTAGCTACTCTTATACTGTAGTGGTTTTGTCATAAACATGCTATGATAATGTTTTATGGCATAATAGGACTGAATATGCGCAAAACAATGAATAGCAATCTACTTTACAAAGGTGTTTGAAAAACCTTATTTGAATCGTGTACAAAAAGATCAAATATACGTGGACAGATTTACTAACTTTAAAAATTCAACAATTTAATCCTAGTTAATTGTGTGATAAACATTGAGATTACCCAAAAAGTACTGAGAATACAATCAAAGATACAAATGAGACGAAGAGTTTCAGGCAATCTCCAATAAAAGTACACAAGATACCTCTACGAGAAAATAACGATTTGAAACTTTCGAAAATTGGTGTAAAGACGTAAATTATCTGTATTATATGATGATATCAGTCTATACACGATTGTAAAATCTGCTAATAATACCATTCAAACTTTTGATATAGTTGAGATGTGAGAGTCGTGAATCCATTATCTGACGAGATCATGTGTTCAGACTGTCAGTGTTAAGTCAGTGTATAAAGTCCTAGTCTGAAAACATACATGTCCAATGAGAGGGCACGTTAAGCTAGTTAAAGTTATTAAATTTATGGAAGTTTTTTTACAGCCAATATACTATTCTGATCTAAAAGTAAGATAAACGATTAATATACATAAACACAATTAAACTCTTTCTTATTAATAATGTGAATGTTTCCCATATAATTTGTTTACTCCTTAATGTCATTTACAAACATACGTAAGTTATTCGTACCAATTAAGCTATATAGTTTTTCTAAACTTTAAAATGTAAAGTTTTCTATAAAAGGTGGTGAATATACAAACTATCCAATGAAACAATTTTGTAATCTGATAAAAATTGGTCGAGAAAAAGAATGAGCCTTAGCTGTTTGTATTAATAGCACTTGATAGATATGGTTGGTAAAAATTTACAACAAATAAACATGCAATTAACTGGAATAATGTTATTACAAATAGATTTAACATTAATATATATATAAGAATAAAAAAGTGAATTATTTTCAAGCTGCATTGATGAATTCAAAACAAGCAAATATCTATTTGGTTTAAATAATCACACTGTCGTAAAACCAGATTTGTGTTATTTCACCACTTACCTTTATTTTTAAGCTTAATAAACTATCCAAGTCACCGGCGTATCGTTCACAAGTCACTCACATAGCACAGATCGCTCCACAACTGACAAACCGCGCGTCAAAGTCTCCGTAGCAGACGACGCGACTGAGCACGTGCTCGTGGTACACTTGTGACGCGTGCGCTGCACTACGACCACCACGCATGCGTACATACGCCGACTGACGCGAGCTAGCAGACGACTATGACTCTACCTCCCGCCGCTCAGCGCTCCAAGCGGCAGTACCAGCAACTACATGATACCAGTTAACCGGTTGCACCTCAGTTACGACTTTTCGTACAACCTCCAGTTGCGCTTTTTGCGAACCGTTCATCTCTCGTGTTATTTTTGCTGAAGTTAATCATCCGTTTGTCATGCCTCGTGTCCCGCTGAGAGCGTGACTGTAGTGTAGGCCTCCGTCACAGGCGGGATTGCTTCATGAGGTCATGAAATGGGATTTGACCCGGTAACGGCTGTCGACAGATCATTACCAGAGAGCAATAACACAGGGGTTGGCGTGTGATCATTTTGAATTGCAGTATAAACGATTTATTGATCCTGCGGAAGGGTAAAAAAGTCCCCATCTCCCCAAGCTTTTAATAGATTTTTTAAAGTGAGGCTTTCCTAGCTTGCCGAGCTACAAAAATCCTGATAAAAAAAATTAAAAAACTACCAAATGCCAGTTGTAATGAACACCATACAAGTAACCAAATCTGAAAAATCCATTGCAAACATGTACATTTTAACGTGTTCCAGATAAATCTTTTCTAACAATTGCGAAATTGTAGTCAAGTGAAATTGTTATTATGCAATTAGTACCATAATCACTTAAGTTGATTTTAAACATAAGCCATATAGGTTTAGTTTAGATAACTTTAAAAGTATCTCAATTTGGTGGTATTTCTATATATACAAATTAACTTGTTGCGCCAATATATGTAAGAACCAAGAACACTTTACTGCCATAGATGTTTTAGGGCCTAAATAGGAGTAGCCTACTGAATTTTCTGACTGGCCCAAAAATTATGAATACAAATCTCCTCTGGAGGGACAACATTAGTTTATTATCTAAAAAATATCATGGCACTGAAGCAAATACGTTTTAGCTGAGGAGACAATTTGAAATAGTTCGATTTATTGATTCTGATGATTGATTTTCTTAAATGAATGTATTATTTAAAACTTTGTTATTTTTTAACCCACTCTTTCTTTCGATAAATAACCTTTTCTTTGTACCTGTAAGAATAATTAACCATAGTGGTAATAACTAAACATACAAGCGGCTTTAATGCTTTGTATTACGTTACAGAATTGTAACTTGCCTAATCTAGTATTTTAATACACTGAATTTTCCTTTAGTACTGGTAAAACATTGGGAATCAAGTTTGAATTACTATTTTTTTTTATGGAATGGACATATAATCAATCCACGAGATCGACTTGTGTTTTTCATGTGTATGAAGTTTTTATACTTTTGAAAAATTACATAAAATTAGGTTACTAACCTGTCGCCAATCAGTCTTATATTGTCGTAGATGACTATAGTTTCGGGGTTAAAACCCCATTTTCAAATCTTCTCTTCAGTCCTCATATGTCAAACAACATATTCTCTTGCACAAGCCGTCGTCAAAATTACTTTACACATACTAAACACATACGAAAACATTTATAATTACTAATCGTGTACATGAATCTGGTGTTGTCCTTGGCCAGCCTCACGCGCCAACATAACATAACATGATTTGTAATCATAAATGTTTTCGTATGTGTTTAGTATGTTTGAAGTAATTTTGACTACGGCTTGTGCAAGAGAATATGTTGTTTGACATATGACGACTGAAGAGAAGATTTGAAAATGGGGTTTTAACCCCGAAACTATAGTCATCTACGACAATAAAGGACTGATTGACGACGGGTTAGTAACCTCATTTTATGTCAATAAATCAATCCTAGAGGCAAACTATGTATCAATTTAAAAAATTGCATGTCGAAATATATCAATCAATTTCTCTACCCCTAATAACAACTGACACAGCGTATGAATATGAATAAATTTTTACCGTTATTCAGTAACACGTTTTTATGACCTTGAATTCAATCGTGCTAGAAACATCAAGAGATTTATAGCAGATTTGATTTGCTAATCGAGTTTCCCGGCAAGGTCTGTTGTGGGTGGCGTCAGCGTCGCAGGAGTGTCGAGGCTAGAACTGATGGATAATTCCACAGAAAATCGTCAAAGCCGCGTATATAACGCTGTAGTTGGATTCATGATTTCCTCTGCATGTATGAAAAAGTGATGATACATAAATCTAAATCGTGCTCTGGTAATCACTAGTACGTGTATATTGTTATGTACGGTATTTCTATATAGTTTTCGGCTCAGTTTTAGCGAATTTCCGACTTCGATACGACGAATGGCAAGAAATGTTAGACATGAATTTAACTGGAACTTTACATTCCACCACTTTCAATTCTTTCATGGCTGTAAATTTTCAAATAACCTTCATTACGTGACCATGCACTTTTTAACATGATTTTGAATCTCATCACCCACCCCCAAATAGGAGTTGGTATTTTAAAAATAAATACCAACCCCAAATAGGGGTTAGCTGCAGCAGCCTGCAGCTAACGAAGACCCATGTGTTAGTTGTTGTACTCGCATGCCTGAGTAGTATCTAAGCCGTGTCATATGGTATTGTCTGTGGCCAGTGTCAGTGCGTTACCGTCCAGTGGTCTGCTTATCTGGCCAGGTTATGCAAGCTGCTGCAGCTAACGAAGACCCATGTGTTGGTTGTTGTACTCGCATGCCTGTGTGGTATCTAAGCCGTGTCATATGGTATTGTCTGTGGCCAGTGTCAGTGCGTTACCGTCCAGTGGTCTGCTTATCTGGCCAGGTTATGCAAGCTGCTGCAGCTAACGAAGACCCATGTGTTGGTTGTTGTACTCGCATGCCTGTGTGGTATCTAAGCCGTGTCATATGGTATTGTCTGTGGCCAGTGTCAGTGCGTTACCGTCCAGTGGTCTGTTTATCTGGCCAGGTTATGCAAGCTGCTGCAGCTAGCGAAGACCCATGTGTTGGTTGTTGTACTCGCATGCCTTTGTGGTATCTAAGCCGTGTCATATGGTATTGTATGTGGCCAGTGTCAGTGCGTTACCGTCCAGTGGTCTGCTTATCTGGCCAGGTTATGCAAGCTGCTGCAGCTAACGAAGACCCACGTGTTAGTTGGACTAACATGCCAAAGTAATATCTAAGCCGTGTCATATGGTATTGTCTGTGGCCAGTGTCAGTGCGTTACCGTCCAGTGGTCTGCTTATCTGGCCAGGTTATGCAAGCTGCTGCAGCTAACGAAGACCCACGTGTTAGTTGGACTAACATGCCTGAGTAATATCTAAGCCGTGTCATATGGTATTGTCTGTGGCCAGTGTCAGTGCGTTACCGTCCAGTGGTCTGCTTATCTGGCCAGGTTATGCAAGCTGCTGCAGCTAACGAAGACCCGTGTGTTGGTTGTTGTAGTAGCATGCCTGTGTGGTATCTAAGCCGTGTCATATGGTATTGTCTGTGGCCAGTGTCAGTGCGTTACCGTCCAGTGGTCTGCTTATCTGGCCAGGTTATGCAAGCTGCTGCAGCTAACGAAGACCCATGTGTTGGTTGTTGTACTCGCATGCCTGTGTGGTATCTAAGCCGTGTCATATGGTATTGTCTGTAGCCAGTGTCAGTGCGTTACCGTCCAGTGGTCTGTTTATCTGGCCAGGTTATGCAAGCTGCTGCAGCTAACGAAGACCCATGTGTTGGTTGTTGTACTCGCATGCCTGTGTGGTATCTAAGCCGTGTCATATGGTATTGTCTGTGGCCAGTGTCAGTGCGTTACCGTCCAGTGGTCTGTTTATCTGGCCAGGTTATGCAAGCTGCTGCAGCTAACGAAGACCCATGTGTTGGTTGTTGTACTCGCATGCCTGTGTGGTATCCAAGCCGTGTCATATGGTATTGTCTGTGGCCAGTGTCAGTGCGTTACCGTCCAGTGGTCTGCTTATCTGGCCAGGTTATGCAAGCTGCTGCAGCGAGCGAAGACCCATGTGTTGGTTGTTGTACTCGCATGCCTGTGTGGTATCTAAGCCGTGTCATATGGTATTGTCTGTGGCCAGTGTCAGTGCGTTACCGTCCAGTGGTCTGCTTATCTGGCCAGGTTATGCAAGCTGCTGCAGCTAACGAAGACCCATGTGTTGGTTGTTGTACTCGCATGCCTGAGTCTAGCCCGACCGTAGCCTCTGCTACCTCAACAATCGCCTCATTAACCAGCAAGGAACTTGTTTAACTACTTTTTGTAAGTTAGAATTAGGAAGCGTGCAGGAAATAATCGATAGTTCAGACCAGCGTTACACATTGTTGTTTCTGATCCAATGATAGTAGCGATTGTTTACATGGCGTAATAACAATAGCTACTCTGGTTGCGAAATGCAGCAACCGAATAAGTACGCTGCTTAGATTTATCCACAGATATAAAACTAGAAAGTTAGAGGGTCGTTTTCATAATATGAACTGTATTTTAAATATTTTTAGTGTGTAATAAATCCCGCATGCATTTATGGGGTGTTTAAATGTTTATTTTTAACCATACAGATTTTTGGGTACTTTCATTCACCATCTTCGGGAATTGTTTACAAATTTGTTGTACTAGTTTCAGGCCTATTTTAAATCCTCACTCTTATCTCAAATCCTCATTGCACGCAGACGTGTTTTCTACGTCAAATTTGAACTTTGAAGAGGCTTATCATTTGCTTATTACAAATAAATAGAACCAGCTTTGAATTGCTAGAGTTGGTGTTAAATTTTACAGTTTCAATTTAAGAGCATGAAATATAGTTCATACAAACCCACCACATAAAGTACTATTATAGCACTGAAACATAAGAATTTCAACCACTAACATAATTATTTAACTTCATTTTATCATAAACTTGTTTCCAAACAAGACTTTATTTTATCTTCCAAATTTAATTCATTAAATTAATTCAGTCCTGTAAATGGATGAAAAAAAGAAAAAAAATATTTCTCCAGGACGAAATTGAAAGATATTAGGTATGAATTTTATGAGCTCGCAGTAGAATCTAGCCTGTAAATTAAAGCTTTGTTCATGTTGTATTGGCATTCACGTGAGGCCATGCAAG